GAGTGAATAGGTTCATTTATTTGTTTACTGTGAGTAGATTCATTAATTTGTTAATTTGACAAATGTTTATTGAATTCCTCCCATAGGCAAGGACTGGGAATATAACTATGATTAAGCATTCTGTTCTCTCTGCCCTTGTAGACACTTGCAAGACTGAGGGAAGATAAATAAGTGAATGAGTATTTGCAATAAAGCACGATGCAGGTTATATATGGAGGGAAATGTGCTGGGAGAGTCAGATCAGGGCTACACAACCCATGAGCTCAGAGAGGGGCTCCTAGAAGAAACATCATGCCAACTAAGATCTGAATCATGAGGTGGGGTAAAATCAATACTGATTCTTAGTTGCCAGGTTGAGAAATTTGAACAGAATAGGATGTTTTACGTGCATAGAAATTTGAAGAAAAAAATTGGCATACTCCAAACTGGTTTTTTAAAGCAGTTTAATCTTGCTGCTACACGGGATGAATGTAAAAGAGGAATTAAGAAGAGAAGAGAACAGTTAGCATATTCCAGGTGAGAGATAGTAATGTGCTCAACATCTTTAGCTAGGAAAACCTAGAGAAAGTGATATATTATACTTGAGAGATATTGGGATCGTAGGCCTGAGAGAATGTGTCAACTTATTTTATTTTGGATTGTTTTGGATGAGGAAAAGAAAAGGGATGCAAATATTGTGAGCCTAGGTAAGTTGTTTCATTTGCAGAGAGGAAACTCGAAGAGGCATGCCTGGGATAGTCGGGACACTGGTGGGGACTGCTGAGAGAAGAGAGATGTGAGACTCGCTTTGGAGGCATGCATTGAATTTGAGATGCCAGAAGAAAATATCCTGAAATCCTGATAGAGAATTTTAGACAGAATGTCAGGGTTTGAGAGAGAATGCTAGAGCTGGAAACATAGATTTGGGAATCTTGAAAGTGTTTATTGAATCCATGAAACAAATGAGATTGTCAAATGACAAATTATATTGAGAAAAACAGAATCAGGAAGCCAGTAGTGAGACCCAGGGACAGTGGCAACATTCAGAGGGGCTGAGAAAGAATGCAGAAATGACAGAGGAGGTGTAGGAAAGAGGGGGAAGGAGGAAAGTGCCAGAAAATCATCAGAGCAAAGTTTCAGGAAAAGAGGGAAGTGGCCCACAGTGTCATATGTAATAGGAGCTTCATGATAATAGAGCCTTGCTTAAAAAAAATGCTACTGTTACATGTATATTGCCTTGGGGAAGGCAATGTGTGAGAAGAACAGATAGCATTTATAATCCTTTATTTAATATTTCTCCCAAAGTCAGTTTCCTGTATACTGGAATCACTAAGAATTTAAACCAAGTGCTGTGACCACATTTTCACTACAGCCAAGACTTTAAAAACTAAACCATTTGAAAATGGTCATTTGGGTATAAGGATTTTGCAGTTCTGCCTTACTGTTTGTATAAAACAGCTCACTTTAATGCCAACCTAAACTAGAAAGGCGACAAATACCTAAAAGCAAATGTCCTTGCTGTTTAAAAATGCTTGTGACACAATAAAATGAAACTAAGAGAAAGGTATTAAAAAGTACTAGGCAAAGGCAAACAGATGCTAGCTTTGTAAGTACATACTCATCTCAAACAGGTAAGAGAAACTGTCTATCTGTTGATGGTGGTCTCTTTGTTGAAAACTTTTCTATTAATATCTGAGAGCAGTTGACATATGTAAATGTCCAAGTGCATCCAGACTTGTCATTTCCTCTCTCAGGCAGGTGCATGCCTCATGTCAGTTCTCTCCTTAGGTAGAATTGTTTTACATCCTACTTTGTGCTTTCCTGGTGTAATTATCAATAGTGCCTCCTTCCACTTTCAGATATGTCCCTGAGAAGATGTTAAATGTTACGATTGCTCTGCCTTTAGACCTCTCATATACTCAGCAGAAAATAAGAGTTAAATTTGGGGGCTCTGGCACCAGATGGATTAGAGTTTGAATCCAGAATCTATCATTTTCTGACTTAGTTTTTGGCAGTGTTTGTTCTTGGGCAGGTTATAACCTCTGTGGGCCTCAGTTTTCTCAGATGATAAAGAATAATTACGGAACTTGTTGAATAGAGTTATTGTGATGAAGTCATGTCCATAAAGGATTGAGCATGTTGCCTGGAACATATACAAGCACCCAGTAAATGTTATCAATTAATATTATCATTGTTGGTATTGTCAAACCCCATTTAGAACCCTGACACAGACTGGAGTTAACTTTGAGCTGTTTTTGAATGCCCTTCTCATGTTCCAAAGGAGTGCCCTTTTCCCAGTGCCAGGACTTCCCTGCAGATGGCATTTCCCTGGTATGAGTGCAATAAGGGATGCCCGTAATAATCTTTCACCCATGTGGGTTTATTCCAACATTGAGCTCACTACGAGCTGTACAGTAATGAGCAATCACTCCTGGGCCCAATCTGAAGACAGAGATAGAAGCAACAAATTATAAACATACTAAAACTGTATAACTAGTGTTCTGAGTTCATACCATATAAATTCCTAAAGCATTTTGTTATCTCATGTGTTTTATTGCATGTGTAACAATGTGAGCCTTGAAAAAATATTTTTCTTTTATTTCCATTTTGTGTACTGAAAGATGAACCTTGATTCTCTACCTTCTACCACTTCAGTGAATCAGTCTAGATGCAAACAATAAAAAATGGAACCAAATTATTTTATGGATTTTAGCACTGCTTCAGAAGTCAGAAAATCAGAAAACATGCAAACTCTTCTTTTGCCTGATGTAATTTTCACTATCAGTTTGGACCACAAGTCTGGGTTTCAAAAATTGTATGGCATAAGTAATCCAATAATACAGTCACTATTTTGCCTTTTTACGCATTTTTCTGCAGATGGTCTTATTACCAGATTCTCTTTAGTTGATGAAAAAGTTAGGACATTAGAGTCATGCTTAATGAAAGTATGCATTGCTTCAGTATCACCAGTTGGCTGCATCTGGTCTGATTTTCAGAACTGTAGGATTGCATGGTTTCTCTGTATATCATTGTTTTCAGGATGTTTAAGTCTGTATATATTTGTGGTTTTATTTATTTATGAAATGGTATCTCACTCTGTCACCAGGCTAGAGTGTAGTGGCACGATCTCAGGTCACTGCAACTTCCACCTCCAGGGTTCAAATGATTTTCCTGACTCAGCCTCCCGAGTAGCTGGGACTACAGGTATGCACCACCATGCCCAGCTAGTTTTTGTGGTTTTAGTAGAGATGGGGTTTCACCATGTTGGCCAGGATGGTCTCAATCTCTTCACCTCATGATCTGCCTGCCTCGGCCTCCCAAAGTGCTGGGATTACAGGCATGAGCCACTGTGCCCATCCAGTGCTTTTAATTTCTGTTGTGTCTCGTCTTCATGGATGACATTGATGTTTGTGGGCATTTGTGATTGCCTATTAGAATGGCGAACGCAGCAGGTGAACCTTGATATGTTCTCTTTCTAGGAGTATTAACTCTGTTCCTGATTGATTTCAGCTGGGTGGGGCAATGAATGAACCCCCTGGGGTGCCAGTTACAATAATGGGAGGCTTGTAGGTCCTCCAGCAGACACAGATTTCTGCTGTCTTTCCAAGGAGTCTCAGCTGCCACACTCTCTCCTCCTCTCTCCATGTGTAAGAAATTTCAGGCCCAGAAGCAGATCACAGAAAGAAGCAAAAATCTCTCAAATTTCAGATTCTAGACATATTTGCCAAACAATATATGATTCCCTGTTCAAAAGACTACAGCAACTTACTGCTTTGAATGATACATCTCACCTTCTGATTGCCTGAGACTTGTCTGCCTCAAATGAAAAGTACATGATTTCTCCCAAAATATTCATAAGCAGGGCAGAGAAGTAATTAGGAACCTATTATTTTGTCAGTAGGGACCGGAATATGAATTTTAAGCTTGCTGCTTAGATAACTTCAGGTATCCAGTGTATCTGAACTTCATCTTTATAATTTAAATTATAATAGTAGCCACCACACAAAACTAATGAAGATTACATGACATAATACACACAATGTCTGATACTCAGTGTTCAATAAATGCTGGCCATTACTATCTGTTAGCCTTTCATTTATCTGAAGCATTCTGGTTCTTCTGCCAGTAGAGTTCCAGTCTTGGCTGAAACCCTAGATCGTGATACAGGGTTCTTCCTCATTGCATCCACCAGACTTGGTTAAGAATACAGCACAGCACAGAACCTCTTCAGGCAACCACAGCCTCTGCCTTCAGAAATGTCGCTGCTCAGAAGACAGTGAAGGAGGGAAGGATAGTGATAGGGAAGGAGCTAATGACAAGTTACTGAGCCAGAAATAAAGGGGTAAAAAGAATGCATTTATGGGCACATGAGATTTCAAAACCTCTCAGCATATCTGTGGAACTTTATTTGGAACCAGTGCCATCTGTTTGTCGATGACTCTGACAGAAATGTGTCCATGAATTTGGACCCTTCTTTTTTTTTCCCCCTCAGCTGTGCGGTATAGCCAGATGTTCTTGTATTTCAGAAGCAACCACATCCATCAAGCTCTTTGCAGGCCTGGATCGTTCATGCTTGTGTGACTTCCTTTGTCCAGCCGTGAGACTAGTGCGCTTGTTTACCCACTTTTCTTTTCTTCCTGATTTTTTTCTCACGTTGCTTTAAATTAAATTAAAGGCCAGCACTGCCACTAATTAACCAAGAGTGGCACATTTGTAAACCTGGATTTGCCTGGTTGCCAGTAGAGAAAAATCCTTCTGCACTCTGCCAAAACTGTGTTTACCAGGCACCATTGGTGTCTTGGCAATGCCGCTTGGATTTTGTCAGAACATAATGTAGCTGTGTAAAAGATGTCCTTCAGAGATGTAGCTGACTTGCCTTGTTCCCAGACTTAAATATGCTGTGAACTAATTAACACCAGCGTGAAAGTAAACACTCAAATATCGTTACCTTGCGAATAACAGCGCACAAATTTCTGTGCGTGGGTTTCTGTCTCCTAAAAAAAAGAATGATGATGGTTGTTATCACAGGAAGAGAAAATATTGGGAAAGCAAAGCATTGGCATCAGCTAACAGGCATTCTCTTGTCCCAGTTTCTAGCAATCTTAAATCTCTGGGGTAGAGCCATATTATCAGAAATGTGTGTCATAAGCATTGTAGACTTGGACATAGAAGAGGGAACTATGTCTTTGGGGGCAAATGTGCCATTAAGAAGGTTCAGCTTGCAGGGTAACTTGAATTCATGTTGGAAAGAAGAATCTTTTTGCCTTTTCTCTCCCCCTTCTGACAACAGAAGAGCTCCATTGACAACAGGGCCACTTTGAAATCAGGGACTTTAGACTGAAATTGACCTTACTGCTTGGGAACAGCCTGAGGTTGACACCTTCTGGGCTGTGGAGTAGATAAACATGCTTACTTCCTCTGCTCCTTGATCTGAAATGACCAGCGATTCCAAGTCCCCAAAAGAAGGGAAGCTGAAGAGGAGAACAGAGACCAGTTTTAGTGAAAAATGGTTATTTTTACACATTGCGATGAAAGCAATTACTTTGTTCTTAAAAACTTCATTTTTGTCTAGAAACACAGAATAAAATGTTACCTTTATATATCTACTCTGTAACGACGCTGCCCAGTAGAACTCTAAAAATGGAAATGCATTCTGTGCTCATGTGACCACTGGGCCCTTGAAGTGAGCTGATATGACTGAGAGTTAGATATTTACTGTGATTGTAGTTAATTTAAATGTTAATACTCACTTGTGGTTGCAGCTGCTCTGTTGGGTGGCATCGCTGCTCTCCTCTACAACGTATGAACTGTGGCATTGTTTTTATTTTCGCAAAACTTTTTTTAATCTTTTAAATGTTTTTATTTTTCCGTGGGTTCTTAGGGTACAGGTGGTGTTTGGTTACATGTGTAAGTTTTTATTATTATACTTTAAGTTCTGGGGTACATGTGCAGAACATGCAGGTTTGTTACATAGGTATACATGTGCCATGGTGATATGCTGCACCCATCCACCCGTCATCTACATTAGGTATTTTTTCTAATGCTATCACTCCCCTAGACCCTACCTCCCGACAGGCCCCAGTGTGTGATGTTCCCCTCCCTGTGTCCAAGCGTTCTCATTGTTCAGCTCCCACTTAGGAGTGAGAACATGAAGTGTTTATTTCTGCAAACCTTTTGAATGTTTGGCTTAATAGAATATGGCTGATTCTCATATCTGTTTCTGTATTCTACCTGTTGTAATAATTTTTGCTGAAGTTTATGAAGAAAATATGACCATACCCAAAAATATACTTGGGAGATATAAACTCAATAATTAAGATTTGATAAAATTAATAATGCTTACTGTTTTATGAAAGACTTGCTTTTGAGACAGACCTTACTCTGTTGCCCAGGCTGGAGTGCAGTGGGACACTCATGGCTCACTGCAGCTTCGACCTCCTGGGCTCAAATAATCCTCCCACCTCAGCCTCTTGAGTAGCTGGGACTTCAGGCATGCACCACCATGCTGCTAATTTTTAGAAGTTTTTTGTAGAGACAGGATCTCACTATGTTGCCCAGGGCTGATCTCACACTACTGGGCTCAAGTGATTCTTCCACTTCAGCCTCCCAAAGTGCAGGAATTACCAGGCATGAGCCACTGCACAAATCCAAAAGATGTTTTTTTTTAAATGAAATTGGCTTTAAAAAATATTCTTTAGTTCCACTGCCTTCATTCACACAGGCACTAGCAGTTTTACCAACCATTGCATTTGTACCAATAGTACAAATGCCAGTGTCATAAGTAAAAGCAGGTAACACCTAAGTATTCTCTTATAAATAGTTTAGACTTCTCAGGTTCTCTAAAAGAGTATCAGGAACCCCTAGAATTCTGCAGACCCCACTTTTAGAAGTTTTCTAGAATCGTCTGTCCCATCCTGCATCCCCACCTTCCCACCAAATCAAACTCACATGCCACTCTTTTATCTAACAGAACAACTTAGCTCTATTTTTGGAAACTTCAGAGCCAACCAGTAACAAAGATCTTGATTTTTTCCCCCAAGGAATTAAGTTATATTTCCAAACAAACATAAGTGCCACCTTAAAAAGAATTCTGGTACCATTTGTAAGAATCATTATGCTCCTTGTTTACCCTCTCCCATACAAACATCTGTAAATTTTTATTTCATCCCCAAGCTAGTACTTTGAACCTATCTGCTGGAAAAATCCACCAGGATATGTACCTATAAATAATTATGTTTCTTTGTTTCCTTTTTGATCGATTTCTGATGTAACACAGTGAGTTTCTTGCAAGAAAATAGAGTTTATTTTATAAGTATTAACTGGATGGATAGCTACATGATGTACCAGCTGTGCCTATCGACCCCTCTCCCACACTGACCTGCTTCTCTTCTCGTTTCAGTTTTCTTAATGGTCCTCCCTTCCACTAAGTCACTAAGAGTACATATTTGAGCTAAGCATCATCTTTGAGCATTTCCTCTTCTGTATAAATATATGTGAAAATCATGAAACATAGCTAGTTCTTAGAAGGAAAGAAAATGCATGACTACGTGCCATTTGGGTAGATGGCTACCGGGCTGTTGTGAGTAAAGTATCTGTCAAATTGATATTCTTAATTGAAAAAAGAGTAATGGTCTCTTTTAGCTTTCTGGTTTTAAATGTAGGACTTGGGTGAAATCAACTCTACTCATATCACCTAGCAATGGCAATGTGCATACTCTATTTTGGGAAATTGTCAACTTTAAAAGGATTCTCACAGCTCAGCTCTATTTAAAATTCAAGAGGGAAAGAAATTTTTTTTTTTAAGTCAAGAGGTCTTCAGATGTCCTCCAAGCCCTGGTTTTCCACAGGCTAAGGCTTACAGGGCCAAACATTGGCCGAGAACCCATAGCCTCACATTATGTGGGGACTCCATGAACCATATTAGCCACTGAGTTTATTTCTGGACTCTTGTTAGTGATGGCCTGAATTCTTTAGGGCCCCATGGCAAAGTGGTCTCCAGGGATTTTAACACGTTCTGAGTTTGGGTTGCAAAGGGTTCTGGAGACTATTGCTTTCAGGTGGAGCCCAGAACAACTGACAATGAAGACTGCATTAAAAGCTGCTGCTGACCTCCTTAGGCAATATGGCTGCTTTTGAAAGTAAACATATTTACCTAACAATCACTTAGAAGGAAATTGCGTTAAAGTGTATTCACCTACAGATACGAAAATCTAATCTTCAATAGGAAGCACAGTATTGTGGTGTAAGAATTGGATCACACATAAAAGCTCTCTCTTTTAGCCCTGGTTTCACCCCCAACTAGTAGTATGAACTTGGACAAATAATTGAACTTCTTTGGGTTTCAGCTCCTAGTCTATATATAACATGTGACAGGAATTACAACTTTCTATCTATGAATTCTCTGGCTTTCTCAAATCATATAACCCTTTGCTTTCCTATTCTGATGAACTAGTTATACACTTGTAGCTTTGCCTTTTGGGAACATGGATTCCTAATAATTAAACTGAATTTCATTTTGCTTAGAAACTATTTACTACAATACCAATTATAAAATGCAAATGTGAGTATTTGTGTATAAATGATTTGCCTTCCATGTGTACTGAGGCAAGTGTAGTATTAGAAGCCTGGGGTCAAAATCTCTTCATTTTTTACTCAATGGAATAACTTGGTTTGTCTAATACCTTGATAAGATCTAGAATCAGTGTCACCTTATTTACCAAAAATATAGATAGAAGTTACTTCTGAGCTCTCCGATTTTTCAGTAGCAACCATTATGAGCAAATATAGATTCATAAATACAAGGTCATATACATGATTAAAATTTTACATGGCAGATACAAGATGTCACAGAGTGCATTATTTTCTAACTTCTTTATTGTATTGAATGAGACATGATAAATGCCCAGTTATCTTGGCTAAGGTATTCATGCTACGGTTTCCAGTGTCCATGTCAACATGTATATCGTTAAGTACCAGCACTGAAAAAAGCTGCCTTCTAATAACTTTCCAGCTTTGCTTGGTTGGTTACAGGGAAGCACTGGCCACAACTTAGCACAGGATCTTTTCTGTATTTCATTGAGAAAGATGCACCCCATTTCTCCACCTAAAGAGAATATGGTTTGAGCCTCAGTATAACCTTTCTGTTTGCAGTGGAGTAGTTTGATTACTGTTTCTTTCTTCATGCCATCATTAGTGCTGTGGTATATGATCAAATGCTGGTGGTAAGGGGGAGGAGAGGGGTGTTTATTAGTCTTAGACCATACAGTGATTTACTCTGGAGCAAGTTAGCATGCTGGATTTGTTCAATATTAACGTGCATAGACTTTTTTAAAAAAATGCTATGATTCCAAATATGGGGCTAATCCAGAGACAATGAACTTTTGTCTAGGAAGGAGGCATATCAAAATAATCAGCTGTTGTCTCTTAAGAGGTGGTGAAAACTGCTGTGTGTATAGGATGGTTCAGTTAGTTGTATGAGTTTCTACCGAGGCTGCTTATCACATTTTAAAAATGCAACTTTAGCGACAAAAATTCTTAGAAATTAAATTTTATTTCCTTCTGAACAGACCTTCTGTGAAATGTCTTTTACTGAATATTGGTTTTTTGTCCTTGTCAGACAACTGCAGTTTATTCTTGCTAAACCGGAGGGGTATAATTCCAGATTCACCTATAGTGAGCTATTTGCTGATCACAGTAAATTTAACATGGCCTTGTTAATATCTACCCTCATCTTCAAGTAACTGTAGTCTTCTAATGGTACATATTAAACTGTAGTGGTGCAAACATCCTGGAGTTAAATGACCAGTGACAACCCATTTATTCACCCTTTATCACCTTCTCAAAGAATCCCAGTTACAAGATGTCATCCTCCTAATCTCTCACGATTAGTTTAAGGATGGCTGCTTACCCTCTCATCTCTCACTCCCATCAGTTTTATATTTCCTTACCTAGAAATTTCAAGCTACATTTAAAAAATGCCCTAAGTTATTATATTTCCATGCCTTTGGGAAAATTACTTCAAGGCGGCTCTGTCTTAATATTTTGATGGCCAAATGTAAAGTCAGAGCAACAAGAGAAACTAGAATGGAATAGAGGAGCAGCTAAGTTACTATCGTAGGTTATGTATCTGAATGAACTGAAGTTGGCGTAGTATTTAAGTTTACTGAGGAGGGTGTCATTTGGAAAATTAACAACAAGAATTTTAATCTGGCAATGTCCCCTCAAAGTTTTACTTAAAACATACACTTCCACTTCCCTGTACGAAGCTACATATCTTTTCTCTTTCTCTCTCATCCGCCCTCATGAGATTCTGCTTTAATTTATGTGACTAGCTTGCAAGCCTGAGCTAAGAAATGGCTGTTTCTTATATAGTAAATCAAAATAACATCAGAGTCACTTCAAACAACGTTTTTGAAATTCAAGTTCAGAACAAGTAGTTCAGACTTCACAAATACTTTTTGTTTCACACCAGCTTTCCTTCTCTACTACATTTTCAGTGACATTGTGCAAAAGGGCAATTCCATTTCCGTAGGTTACATTGACTTTGCCGAGAATTAAAAAAAAGAAGAAGAAAAGAAAATTAAAAAAAAAAAAAAAAGAATGCTTGGTTTGGGCCTAGAAACTAAATAAGCACAAGATAAAAATCACAGTGGAAGTGAGTGTCATTGAAATAAAGTGACTTGTTTTTATCACAAGGCTATTTTCAGTTAAGTCCACTCTAATTCTTATCTTTATTCATCCTACAAGCTATAGATAATGCATGACCATATTAAAATTCTCTTCTTGGTCTGAATCTCCTGTCTCTAATAGACAAGCTGGGTCCTTTACAACTTGATTGTATGTGTGTTGATTTTTAAAAGACAACAACATTAAATCTTTAGAGTTGGATTTTCCTGATTATTTTAGATGAAGTTCTACATACTGTACCGATATTACATAGCAATTTTAGAGAACAGTAATTGCATTAGATGACTTAACATGATTAGTAGAAGCAGAAGGAATAGGTGATCTGGACTGTTTTTGAGAAAGCTCTTAATGAAGTATAGTATGCGTGTAGAAAAGCAAAAATCTTACCTGATTAGTTTGATGATTTTGAACAAAATGAACACACCCCTTTATTCATCAGACTAAGAGATGGAACATTAACTAGCACCCAAGAAGCGCCCCCCCCATGTCCTGCCCAGTCACAATCCCTCAAAAAGTAATCACTTTCATGACTTCTGACAACATAGTTTAGCCAGTATTTGAAATTTACATAAATTGAATTATATAGTGTGTACGCTTCTATGTCTGGTTTCTTTCACTCAATAGTGTTTGCAGAGATTATTCATGTCATTCAAACATTCTCATTGCTTTATTCCCGCTATCTACAATATTTTAAATGTCTATTGATATTTGTGCTCTTACAAATGGTATTATGATCAACATCATTTGGGAACACAGGCATATGTATTTCTGTTGAGCACAAATATTTAGGTCATAAACTATGTATATTACATATTTTGGTGGCCACTGCCAAACTTTTCAAACAGCTGTACCTATTTTCACACTCATTCGAAGTGTATGAGGCTTCTCATTACCCGACATCCTTACAATCTCTTGATATTGTCAGCCTTTGTTATTGCAGCCGATCTGGTTGTATTGTAGGAGGTTTATGTTTTAGTTTTAGTTAGAATTTCCTTGACAACTAATGAAGGTAGATGTTTTTCATATGCTTATTGGCCATTTGGATGTGCTTTTTGGAGAAGTGCTTGTTGAAATTCTTACCTTATTTTTCTACTGATATATCTTTTTGTTACTGATAGGAGTTTGTTATATATTCCCAATATAATTATTTGTGTGTGTGTGTGTGTGTGTGTGTGTGTATGCATTGCCAATGTCTTCTCCCTCTCTGTAGCTTGCCTTAACACTCTCCTAATGGTATGTTTTAATGAAACTGTTTTAATTTGAATTCATCAAAATTTTACTTATAATTAGTAATTTTTGAGTCCTGTTTTAAAAATCATTCTCTCCCCAAGTGGCATGAAAATATTCTCTTCTAGAGGTCCAAGGGTTTTACCTTTTACATTTAGATCGATGAGCCACCTTGAACTATGATTTAAATTAATTCTTCATCTATAAATATACATCTCAGGTGACATTATTTATTGAAAATACAATGTTTTCCTTCACTGCATTGCAGTTACACTTTGTTATGCCCCAGGAGACTATATGTTTGTGAGTCTATTTCTGGATTCTCTACTCTGTTGTATTGGTCTATCACTGAACCAACACTTCACTGTCTTAATTATGAAACTTTGGAGCAAATCTTTTTATCTGATAGTGTTAGTGCTCCAAATTGTGTTTCCTCAAGCTAGCCTGTCATTTGCATGTATATTTTAAAATAAGCCTGACAATCTTCACACTCACACCCCACCATTGTGACAACACAACAGTAATAACAACAGCAGCAAAACCTATTGGCATCTTGATAGGAATTGTGATAACCGTATACATTAGTGTGGAAAGACTAGAAACCCTTGAAAAAAATTGTGTCTTGTGAATTTGGAGTGGCCACTAGTTAACCCACTGTACAGTTATTAATCATTCTACATGCGTTACTGTTCGCCCCCTTTTTATGATTGGTTATAGGCAACTTGGCAACCTCTAGTATGTTAATCTGGAATATGATTACTGCATATACCAGATCCTGCCACCCCACCCATCTGACTGTAGATCTTAAAGAACTGCGAGTGAAGCAACCCTTGTTTTGACACTGTTAGGATATAAAATGGCCCTCTCTGGGGAGCAAGTTGCTGTCAGCAGCTGGAATCTTAACACTAGTGTGGCCAGAACTAGGACATAATTCATAAAATGTACACTTTACAATTCACCCCCTGAGTTTAAGAATATTTTTAGTATATAATTAAAAAATAAAATATTGAGTCTTCAGTCTATAAACATGGAATATGCTTTTATTTAGAAGTTTTTACATTTCTCTGAATACTGTTTCTAATTTTCAGTGCAGAAGTATTACACGTCTTTCCTGAGAATTTGATAATTTTTGAGCTATTATAAACAGTACATATTATTTTTAAATTTTAATTTTCTACATGTTTGTTTTATTTAATTTTTTTTTTCCTGGATCTTATCACTGAAGTTTGGTCAGCTATAAAGTACACCAAGCTGAAAGCAGAAACTGAGACCTACTTAGATCGTAAGTAACCATTGTATTAACAGAATTCGCTTTGCACATATGAAAAGAAAGTTGCTCTGCGGAAACACTAGTTATGTTTGATCTGTGGTGGCCCTAAAGGGGACTATGAGAAAGCAAATTAGAAAGTGAGTTTTGGCTTTTCTTTTCTTTTCTTTTCATTTTTCTCAGTCCTGAGAATCTCTTTTACCATGAGGCTATGTAAGTGCATTCTCAGCAACAATCACAGTAAAGGGTTAAGTGGATGAAATTGGATTTATACTGCCTGTGGCAATAAATGGGCACATAACTACCCCAGCGTGCAAAGTTCTTCAGTGTAAATGAGCCAAACTGCTAGTTATTTGCCAACTGCTCCATCATTATCCTGTGCGCACCCACCCCTAGCAAGGGCTGTCAGGTTCATGTACGGCTTCTATGTTGTGAGTTGTTGTGTCTCTCGCGATAAGTTCCTGTCAGTTGTGGATCTATCTGGTTAGGAGAGCAGAGCAAGGAAAAAACAGTACAGTGATTGCCAGTGATCAGAATGGGGTGACAGAATGTGGGACATAGAGAGAAATGGTGGGAAGATAACATGGAAGCATAAAGAATAAAAAAATTGTATGCTATATGGTTGAATTCATCTGTCATGTAGCCTGAATGGTAGGCCCCACATTTAAAAAATAAAAATCCTGTTACTATTTTCTTCCTAGCAAATGCACATGGAAAATCAGTATAACATAGCCAGTAAAATAAGTCTCAGCCCAGGGAACAACCCTGCTTTAAGTCCACAAAAAATAAATTCAATGTCTGAATAAATCTTCACACACTTCTATGTATACTTCCAATAATAAAGCAAATAAGTGAGTTGTATACTTCTCATCTTATGCGGAAACTGAGAATCAAGGAATTTAATGACCAATACCTTGATAAAGAGCTAAATTCAAGGACTCTTAAATCATGGTTTAGAATTCTTTCTACAAAACCATACTGATATGATAATTTTATTCCTTCTAGAAATACCTCTTGACATCCTAAATCATAAAAGTAATGGCCTTAGAGTATTTCTAAAGTGCATCAAATTTCCACTTTTTTTTTTTTTTTTTTTACATTTTATGCATTTGTCCACCTTAAATATTTCATCAATAATTTTATTAGAACCCTTTTGGGTAGTTATCTTCCCTAGGTCTAGCATTGTGATTTTTACCTTGCCTCAGGTAGAATTATCCACAACAAAGAAACAGTAGTCCAACAGTATGGAGGGTATCTGTGGCTCTTTTTTGGCAATGGATCATAATTAGTGGTATAAGCAATATGGTCCATTCGATCCAAAGCAACTTCTGAAATGTCAAAAAGAAAATATCAAAACAGAATCAAAGTGAGCAAAAGCACAGCCATAATTGAGAGCCATGCCCTAGATTCCTGAAGCGTTGAAAACCTAACTGAAAAGTTAAGAGCCTTTTCACACGAACCTTACGTTTTGTTTTCCCTCCCTTACTGCTTTCATTTCTTTAGTTTTTCTTTTCTAAAATTGAATTAACCAATATTTGTTGGCCCACCAGCCATAGAAAAGCTAGGATGGGAAACAGTATAACCAAAGGAGAAAAAATATACCAAGTGATGAGTCTGGACATGTGATTTTTAAGTTCCTGCTTATATCTTATAGTTGTGTGACCTCAGTCACCTCTGAGGATTGGCCATTTGCTCAGAGAGTCTTTGGGCTTGATGTCATCTATGTCTTCATTAGCCCAAAGGTTACTCTCATCTCTTGACCTAATGGGGGAAGAAGAGACAAAAGCATGATGACTTTAAAAGGCCTTCTAATAAATTGCCTCAGTTGGACTTATTTTCCCATTCTCAAAGCCTGGCAATGAGGTTTAAAGGCTACGTGTAGACTGATTTGGGAACAAAAAGATTTTGAATGTTTATATTAAACTGTTTGAACTATTATGAGTGATATTAAAATGTCTGTGACATAGTCCATGTTATAGAGGAGATTTTTCTTTCAATGGAAAAGACATTCTATACAAATACATAATAATGTTTGACAAAATCTGAATAAGCCTAAATGGAGTGCTAAAATTACAAAAGTATAAGCATTAGATGCTATAGAAATTCAGAGATATGCAAGACACATCTGGAGGAACACTGAAGATGATCTTGAAGGAGGGGCTTGGGGAGTGGACAGATTTGGATAAGCAGATGTGTATAAGGAGGTGCCCATTTTTGATGAGAACAACATAATCAACTGAATACATAGAAATGCAAGAGGAGATATCTTCCAGGAATAGTGAGAAGAAAGTCATATTGGATCAGAGGACTGTTGGGAGGTAGGATTGGAGGAGGCAGGGAGTATCCATATTTTATAGATGATGTTCAGGTTGAAGAAGCTGGACTTTGGTAGTTCATGAGGAGCTAGCAAAGGGAAGGAATTGCAGAGGGAAATTTAATCATTTAGAAAGATAAAACAAAGGCCAACTGGAAGAATTGATTAAATGAGAGAAGACACTAGTGGCAAGGAGTCAAGTTGGATATTCATGCAACTGCCAGGTATAGATGAAAACCGAATACATTAGAAATGCAAAAAATCACCAGGCGTGGTGGCTCATGCCTGTAATCCCTACTTTGGGGGGCCAAGACAGGAGATTGTTTGAGTCCAGGAGTTTGAAACCAGCCTGACCAACATGGTGAAACCCTGTCTTTACCAAAAAATACAAAAATTAGCCAGGTGTGGTGTTAGGCACCTGTAGTCCCAGGTACTCAGGAGGCTGAGGCACGAGAATCACTTGAACCATGGAGGCAGAGGTTGCAGGGAGCTGAGATCGTGCCACTGTACTCCAGCCTGGGCAACGGTGAGACCCTGTCAACAACAACAACAAAAAAGGAAGACATGGGAAAAATCCAGTATTGTCCAGTATTTGAGGAACTTCAATAACTCTCTTTTCTCCTTTCCCTTCATGATCTGAATAAGCCTCTGGGCGATGAGGTCATATAGATAAAATTGCATTTTCACTCATCAATTCTAAGAAAGCATTCTAGCCCTTAGTGGTGGTCTTTGGTTAGATGATGTAGAATTGATTTTGTAGCTTGCTTCATGGAGGCCACTGGGAACATTGTTCTTTGAGGTGACCTTTTGTGTTCACACGATTATGGAGACATGACCGAATCCCCATCCTTAGTTCAAAAACAAAACAAATCCTCTTCATTACTTTGCTGGCTCTCTTCCCTTCTTGATCTCAGCCAACTTTTTTCCAGGGTCTCCTATCTGCTCTCCTCCCATGACCGATATTCTTGGATATTTTGTTCCCTTGGAGCCAAAGACACACTCTCTGTGTGTGTTTCATCAAAGTCACTCTGGACTAGCTGTCTATAGCCCAACGATAATAATTCCACTATCTAAAGGAAAAATATCATTTTACCACAAACACTCCCATGATGATTCAGTCCTAAGTCTTGCCAGAGAGAAGGCTACGCCATTTTTTTTTCTATCCCCAGCACACAGGCTGCTGTGAAGTAGCATCTGCTGTCTAATTCTTTTCTATATTAGGATAAAATGCTTTTTGGCTTGCTGATTTCAGGCCCTTAGGAAAAGAGAAAACAAAGTTTCTCATAAAGTCTTCATTGCACAACCAGTTGGTCTGTGTCCTGGGAACCCCAGGCATGGACTTGTGGACCGAGCCACAAGAGCCATAGCTCAGAGAGAATCAGGTCAGGAGCTGGATGTGATGCGCTTGCTCTGGGGGTACAGACGGTATCTATTTAGGTAGAATTCTTCCACTGTGGCCGCCTTAACACCCAGATCATTTTAACTGGCTTCTTAGCACATTTGGGAGGGCCAGCATCCTTTTCCTAAAGACTAACTAGATAGAGAGTTTGGTTTTTACAGCTCTAACAGAATGAGGCAGAGAAATAAAATTCCGCATTCACAGATGATTATGTCCTTGAGAATGTATCTGGAGAACACCTGAGGAAAAAGTATTAGAAGATTGTTTTCCTACTAGTTCCTTCTGAGCCTCCTCCCCGCAGGGCTGCTTTTGATGAAGACAAGGGCATGCTGTTCCCATGAAGACTCCCAAGCTGGGTTGGGGCAGGAGCCAAGGGAGGTGGGGCTACTGAAGGAAGCATCACCTGTTGAAGGCTGTCGGCCTATCTCATGAGAAGGCTGGATGGGAAAGTCCAGGACACACACCTTCTATTTTGCTCTCTCCTTTCTAACTCTGGCTTCCTGTATACCAGTGAGCTGGCTCACACTGCAAGTACTGACCATCTGCACAGCATCCCTGGACACATTCAGAAGTGAACTAACTGTGAGGCCCAAGCTGTCTGCTGGGAAGCAATCACATCCACAGGGCTGTGTGCTATGTTTGTGCTTGTAATATAATAATAATCATTAACATTATTATTGCTTTATTGTTATGATTTTCCAAACTGGCTCATTTTTATGTATTTCCCGTTACCCTCACCCTCATGGACATAGGGAGATAGTTACTTGACATGCCTTAAATTAGCATACCTCATATGTCTTACTACTTGCAATTACTATTTCAGGACAGTAAAGAAGGCAGCCTCCTTTTCTGTCCAGTAAAATATATTTCAAAGCCAAAGACAGACATATCACAATGTAAAGGATAATCATTTTAAAAAGTCAAGGTGATGAAGGAGGAAGAGTATTTACTAAGTGATAGACATTTGCTTCTTCACAAAGCCCAGGCTTTATGCCTTTAGACATAACATACCTGTCCTCAGAGTTTTAACAATGCAGCTCTCAAAAGATTTCCCTTTGGTTGTAGGCAATTCACAGACTTTTAGCTTCTTACTCTCTGGTTAGGGTTGATGGGCCAAGGAACAGTTTTTATTAGGTTTCAACGCATCTGTGGTGCTTAAATAAGAGACTGAAACAGGCACTTGCTCCATGCTGTAGGGTGATAAGTTGCATTAATTTTTATTTTAGGCTGTCTCCAAACATGGCTTTTATAGACTAATAAAAAAGTAATTTTTATAAGTTCACAAAAAACAATGAGCACAGTCAAGCATAAATATCTTATAACCAGGGCCAGAGGAAAATTACGAACTAAAAAATATGCTGAAAGAGGCACAAAATGTACAATTCCTAGATGCTGCATTCTTGACATAAATTAAACTCTCACCTAAAGGAAAAAGTCTGTAAATGTAAATTTCCACTAGCGTTTCTTCCCTGTTCTTACCCTGCTGTAGTCTGAAACACTACCTCCCTACCCTTCACTAATTTATGCCCATCATAACACTTTAAGATCAACCTCAAATATTCAGCTCTTCAGAGTCAATATTACCCATTAATGCCAGTCTTCTTTGGCATCCCCATAATACTTACATTTTAATATTTTGTTTTACATCAATCCTTACGGCATTTGCTTTTCAAAACATAAATAGATTGTTAGCTTTTTCAAAAATATGGAATGTGTTTTATTTCTTCAAAAACCATTCTGCATAGCACCTAAGACCAATGGCTGATATATGCTAACTACTTATTGTTACTGTTATTTATGTGAGGCAAAGGCTATCACCCAGTTAAGCTAAACTGGCAATTCCCCCACCATAATTATCCTAAAATTCTTATCTAGGAATCTCATAAAAAGAATATAAATTCAAGGATTCTATCTTTTCTTTCAATGGATCTTATCAATAATGCAGACCCAGAGCGATTAAAAGTATCTTGGATTCAAATAAAATGTAACCTATCCACAATTGTTGACCACAAATTCTAATACTTGCAGGTGTTTTAGCAAAATTCATATGGAACACTAATGCCAGAGCATGAACCAGAGCAGCCTTAATTTGTTTAGGACTCCGCCTGATTTTCTTTTTCTTTTAACTTGTGAGTCTAGATTCACAGTTGCATTTTAATATTTCGCCTTCAATGACTACATAAAATCTTCACTTAGTTGACAAATTTGCATTTCCATATGGTCGTTCAGAATATTCTGGGAAAAATTAAATAAGAAATGTTTCAGTAAAATTACTCCATTGTCGTATCTCTGGAGAGATGTTTTTAATAAGGGCAGAATCTATCAGGCAATAACAAATTTAAAGTATATTTTGAATGGCTACCTTCCCAAAGCTGTATCGGAAGGTTTTAAAATAGTGGTATTACTACATTACCGTACAATTTAAAATGCATATGTGAAATATATTATCTCAATTAATATTTAATGTACATACCAAAATAAATTTCTCAAAAGCTAAAGAAAAAATTGTGACTTATTCAAACCTTTTGTTTACTGCCAAATATCTGAATATTTGAAAACTTCCAGATGACTGACAGCAGTCTTGACTTTTGATTCTGCCACTCTTTGATCATGTGATTACCCTTTTAGTTTAGAACATAAATCATTGCTTTTATTGCTTCTATAAATTTCATGTTCCAGCCACACTATTATCCTGGCATAAAATTTTTTATTGCTTTGATACTCCATGCAAAAAAGGCAAATGAGCAAATAAACAAAATATCCAGGAACCTTACTGTACAACCTGTTACCTGAGATAAAGCATCTTGACTTTCTTAGGCCTGTAAGTCAGTTTTCTTAAGATAGCGCTCAGTGTTAAGGTGCTCATTGTTTTGTTTGCTTGTTCGAAAACTAGGAGTACCTCGAACTGAGTTGGGAATATATGAGGGATAGAAAAACCATACTGTTTTTTCTACTCACACACCTGCTTAACACTTCTGCGACCAGGTGCCTGTGAAGCGTCTCTCATGCACCAAGCAATTCTGCAGTGGATACCAGCTGGGTGTCCTCCGATTTAGTTCAATACTGACACAGCTACCTGGAGATTGCATCAAATCCCACAGGTTGAGGTCTCAGTCCCACAAAACTGCCCAAACTTAAGATGCCAATTGTATGCCCCAGGTTGTGACCTATGCTTCTGACCAACTGGCTATAAAAAGTGGAGTCCCATGGCCCCTTCCTTTGAGTTCAATTAATTTGCTATGGTGTCTCATAGAACTCACGGAAACACTTTGTTTACCAGTTTGTTAATAAAGGGTATAATGAAGAATCAGATGAACAGCTAGATGAAGAGATACATATGGTAAGGTCTGGAAGAGCCTTGAGTGTAGGATTTTCCATCCCGGTTGAGCTGGAGTGCATCAGCCTCCTGGCATGCAGTTACGTTTACTAACTGAGAAGTTCTTTGAAATCAGTCATTTTGGGATTTTATGGAGGCATAATTACATAGATATGATTGATTCAATCATTGGAATTAGTGATCAACTCAGCCTTCAGCCCCTATGTTCTCCTCTGAGGTCCAGGGATTGGGGGACAGGACCTGAAGTTTCCAATATTGTAATCACATTGTTGGTTCCTTGGCAACCAGAAAACAAAAGAGACTCCTCATCCAGGAAATTCCGAGAAATATAGGAGCTCTGTGTCAGATGCTCCTATCACTCAGAAAATTACAAAGGTCTTAGGAGCTCTGTGTCAGAAACCTGAGTCAAAGACTAAATATTAGAACAAAAATTATCCTACCACCCCTATACACAAGGGTTTTAGGAGCTCTCTGTGCCAGGAATCTGGGGCAGAATCCACATATATGTTTCTTACTTTGTTACAATTTTTCCAGGTCCTATTTGCTAGGTAATCCATTCTATATGGCACCTTTGTAGTGGGTATATTCTTTCCTGTGAACCCTTTAGTGGAAGTAAGTATGTGAGAGAGGGGAGAATTAGAGGCTCTTCTATAATTTCTCTAGAGGAGGGATTTGGGGTTTAGAACACTTGCTTGAAAGCTGGCTTTACCTAGCAAGAACATTGTTTTACTTAATTTGTTATTATTCTCAGAAACTTAGGAGAAATTTCTAGAGATTATAAGAATAGTTCATGTTATTTAAAATGATGCTAGCAGCTGCAACTAACCAATTCAAAACTCATTGACTTAGTACAATAAAAATTTACTTCTTATTCACATAACCTAATGCATATTCCCAGTCGGGTAGCTTTTCTCAAGTACCATGTCAAGTTTTCGTCTTCTAAATACCCACCTTAGAGGTATCAATGATGATTATGAGATTCTCTGAAAGCACAGTCGTCCTTTGTGGGGATCAGCAGCTACCAGGGATAACATTGAAAAGATAGGACTCATTGTGCACAGGAGTCACATTTCCAACCTTCAGAATTTAGCCTTCTCATTTCCTTTTTCTCCTGTCTTGATATTGATTTTCTCCATACCTGAATGAGTTTTTAATCTTTCCAAGGTGGAAGTTCATATTTGCAACTTTTATTTTTCAGTTCAAAAGAAAATGAAAGCTAAAAATGTGTGATTAATTTTCAAAAACTAAAAAGGTTAGTTCTTTCCCACCCCCATATAACACAAAAATGAATGTGTTAATTTAGCTGAAATGTTATGAAATATGTACTATTGGGTAGAAACCAAGTATGGAAATTCCATAAACATTTCCCACTGTGATATCTCTTCAGAGACACCTGCTCTCTTCCTACCAAACAGATTTCTATTTCAATAATAAAAATGTAAATACATTCAACATCTTTAAAAGAAATTTACCTGCCAATTCTGGGAAGCCTTAGCTCTCTAAGCAAGTTTTATGATCTTTTACACCATCACAAATGACTCCAGTCATGGATCAACATGCCGTACACATTTATATATGAAAATTAGTGGTAACTGCCAGAATTCTATCATTATCTTCAACTACAAATTTCAGTCTACAGTTACAATTTCATTATAGCTTTAAATGTTCTTCTCTAAACGCTTTTAAGCAACCAACTAGCCTTATGAACAGTACTGACTCTTAGCGAAATGATTAGTGGAAGGATAATTGCATGTCAGATGTTGTGTAACTTTTTGAAAGCCAGTTTCCCACAGCATTTTAAGTTCTTGGAATTCCATTGATGATGTTCTCACACTATTCATGCTCAAAAATTCACTGGCAACACACATCTGTGTTTACCCTTTCAATCATGATAATGTCCACAATACTTTTCATATTCCTAGAGGATTAAGTAATACCTCCAGAATCTTAAAAGACAAACATGACTTACTTGGACTCGAAATCATTCTACCATCCATAATAGGAAGAGTCTAAAATTGGAAACCACCTACATACAAGAAGCAGAAGATTGTCATAACTGCCTATTTCTGTCTTAATAGCAAATTAATATAATGGAAAGATCTGTAATGTAATGACAGAAAATGCATAATCCTGGATATGGATCCCTTTTATTGCTCTTTATCTGCAATCCAGATCAATTCTGTTTAAATTAGAGAATTTTCTTCAATATATGGAATATGCTGTTGTTCATATTGGTACTTTTTTCACAACAGGTACACATGGAAGCAATCACAGAATGGGGGAAAGACATGAGTCTTTCCTTATATAGCATCGAGAAAATATTTGACTTCTCATTACCCTTTCTAAAAGGTCTTAGGAAAGAAGTATAGGTACCATAAGGTCAATTTCCTACAACTCTGGGGTATAATCAGAATTTAAAAGAAACAGAAAACTCTTGAAACCAGATATGCTCAATGCACTCGCCACCACTCTTATTCCCACTCTCTCGGTCAGTATCATTAATTGATCACATTAGTCTTTCCCACTGGGGCCAGATTCAGGCACAGAATCTTGCTCAATGTACAGCGTTAGCTATCAACTACCAATTAACAGTTGAGCTAAGTTGTAACTCAATATGAAAATCTATTTGTCATTCTTGACATCGATCATCCCTGGGTAAAAATCAGAGCGAGAGAAGAGCTACACAGTCATGACCTTGGAAATCCTCTCTGTAGATTCAAGTGTTCCTATCTACAATAAAAGCTGCTATTTACATTATTGCTGAGGCTATTTTCTTCTGATATGCTTTTGCCTTGGGAGGCTCGTGAAGCTTTTCTGGCAGGCATTATCTGTGATGACCATATGCAGGGTATACAGAATGATAGAGAAGAAAGTTTAACTTTCATTCTACCGAGAATACCCTTTTTCCTCTGCCAGAATCTCACCAGTTATTAAGCTCTGGCTGTACAGGCTGTCAAATGCAGAACTTCAGCCCAATAGACTGGGCCACCTACCATCATGGTGGGGTCCAAGAAGTACTTTCCAGGGGAAACAGGTCAGTACCGCTTTATTCCTTCTCAGACTTTGAAAAGTAGAATCTCTGTTGGCCCATAGCCATTTGGACAACTGTTTCACTGAAAATGAATTCTGAATCATAGACAAAACAACACATATACTAAACCACATGGCCAGTAGCTTTTGTACTAATCACCAGTCTATCCTTTCTTTCATTTATTTGCCTGCATTTCCTCATTGAGTGATTTTTAATTTTTAAAAATCACATTGTGTTGTTTTTAGGCATCTTAAATCATTTTCAGAATGAGGAAAGACAAATACATAAAAATGAATTAATACCTAAGTACATCAAAATTTCCTCCATTAGTCTTCTTATACTACACAATTCACAAACCTGCCAGAGAAGGCTAATACCTTCTGAAAATTGTTTGTTTTAATTTTGTTTCTATTAATTAAAAGGATCTGTTTTTGAAATCATCTAAGAGAAGTATGTTAAAGGTCTTAAAATATAGCTAAGAACAATAACACAATACCACCAATATTATAAATCTTATGGTTATATTTTATCCACTGGTGCAATGTCCTTTATTTGCACATTTAAGATACTATTGGGACTTTTTTTTTCACATGGGGAAGCTGGAGCTATTAAAAGTATTCCATGGTTTAACCAACCTTTCAGAAAACATCAGAGGTGTAAACAGCTATAAGAAGTTGGTTCATGTCTCTGGGGGATAATACTCCCCTGAAAGAAGACATTACTCCTCTCTTTATTTATATCTGTGAAATCTTGCTTTTGACTTGATCAAGCTGAGGAGACTAATGTCTCTCAGGTAGCTGATAGACTGTGAAATTAAGTTCAAGAAATAAGACTACTTGAAGGAGCATTCTTTATCTGTGGCTCTGCCTGCCATCACAGGCTTAAAGAAATTTGGCTTTGAACTCATCCATCAGTTCTGTTTCCTCTGCTGGTTTTTGCATTTGATGGAGGAAACTGGTCGTTTTTAGGTTGACAGAAAAAAAGCAACTGAGAACAAAGCTTTCTTACAGGTATTTTTGCAGGGAATAGTGTCTTTTTCTCCTTTGAGCCCTCAGTGCATTTCCTAGTTTTGCAAATATTTTCCTTTTGAGGTCTTCTTACCAAAGCTGTCAGCAGGATTTATGATAAATGCCATTTGTAATAGACACAAGCTGTTTCTTTGTATGACATTGGCCAAACATATTGCTCTTTACGTGAGTATTTGTAACTGTTGGTGGTTTCAACTTTGGTGTTGAAGTGCACTTGATTTCAGGTTAGGGAAGTAGCCTTTTGTCTTGTTGACAAGAAGTGGCTTCTTATCATTCTACACAATAAAATTAAACTTCACTATTGTGCCATTATTTATGTCAGGTGGTTGGTGTATATTACTTCTGAGTTAAACAAAAATAATACGGAGTTTTATTATAATAATTATCCTTATTAAGTAGCTTTACAAACAATGTCAGAGTGATTAAATAGCTGACTGTAAATTAGAACTCAAACTAGGAAAATCTGAATTCATATCCTGTATTCTACACTCTTCTCCCATCATAAATGTTCTCGAAATACGTTTCTCCAAGTCTTCAACTTCTTAAAATACAAACTTTATACTAAACACCTTTTACAGATCTCTTGATGATAATCACCTTAAAGTGTTTGTGTTCCCTCCGATTTCATGGAGAATTGAAAGATGCCAAAATTCATGTAGCAGTACACTGTATTACATTTGTTTTTTTCCAAGTTTGCAATGAGCTGTGTGTGGAACTTTTAAGTTGTTATCTGCAGTGTTTAATTTCAATGCTGTGTTTCAGAAACCAGTGAAAAGAAATCAACAAGTCTTGTAACATGCATTATTTCTGAAAGTACAAATAAAAATCATTGTCTAGTGTGATTAATATATTAGTGAGATCTGACATTTTATTTGTGTTTAAGTCATTCTAAGCACTTTCTTGTTAATATTCTGTGGGATTTTAAGGATATTTCAGGGAATTTAGGCTCATATCCTTTATTTTAATTTTAATTACTTTTTTTTTTGCCATGTCTACCTCCATTTTCTCTTATACTCTACTTTCTTAGTGTTCCTTTTTTTTTGCATTTGTGAAATATGGTTTGATTCAATAAGAATGATGTGACATTTATACAAGAATGTGTCTGTCAACTGGAAACAAATCTTACCCGATGAAGTTATCATTTTACTTTTCACAGAACGTTTTGGACCTTTAATACTCTCACAAGGCAATAAGTAGATCTGCATGTTGTTCTAGAAATATTTTATTTCTGCTTATTTTTCTTACCATTCTCTGGGCATATACAGCAATCAAATAAGTCTATTTAGCTTTCTGGATTCTGAGAATTGTCACCTTTCAGGCCAGGTTTCCATTGTTCATTCTCTTAACTAAGAGCTATATTTGAGTGTCTCTGTCTGTGCCAGGAACCATACTAGGCACTGGGCTATGGCACTGAAGGAGATGAAGCCATCTGGGTCCTCAGGAGATCACAAGTCAGGGAAGATGACAAAGAGAGAACCTATAATCACACATGTGGTGAGGGGCTACAAGAAGGGAAAGATGGAGTGTTGTCTCAACCAATGACAGAAGGCTTAATGAGTTTGAAAGACTGCAGGATCAGCAATATCTTCTCTGAAGAGGTGACATTTTTATGAAGAAATAAAGGAATAAGTCAGATGTCAATGGCAGGGGAGAAAAATTCAGGCTTTGCAGGTATCAGGAGCCATTTTTCTGAGGAACAGAAAGTAACATAAGAGGCTGGTTCCTTTCCTCGCCTCATGTTCATGGGAAGGATTCTGAACATACTTTATGGAAGTTTATTTTTGCAATGTCTAAAATGAAACTTTTAGAAAAAAGCTTCTACTACCATGCTTCCCTCTTCTTATACCTTGGTTATTTTTCAACTCTGGACAAAGATAAGATGGAGATGAAGCCAGAAGACAATTGTGTGCAGTTAGCAAGGAGGTACTAGTAAGGAGGTATTTTAAGGAACTATTTATTTTTCCTCACCACAGGCATTGTGATAAGTTCTTCTTTTAATTTAAAGTTGTTGTAATGAGATACCTATTACTTCTATTTTTGCAATGAAGGAAATAGGATGGGGGAGGGTAAGTTACTCATTCTGGGTGAGTAGAGCTAGAATTTGAAACCAACCGTCTTTGACAAAAGAGTATAATGTCTCTACAAAGTAGCAAAGGCATGGAGGGGGGTTATCATGAGCATATTTAGAAACAGTAATCATACAATGTGAAGTTAAGGAAAGTACACAGGATATGAGGCTGAAAGGTGCAACGTGATTAGGAAAGTATACAAACAGGCATAATGGAAATTCTTGGCTTTCTACTCAGAGCCTAGCTCATTTCCAAATAGGTGTCTTCTCATCACCGCCCCATGCAAGGAAATCTGACCACCCCCAGTTGAAGGGCCTTATATTTCTATGGATAATTTTAATTCCCTCAGCAATATATGGCAAAGGCAATCAGCTTTTGTCACTCCCAGCTCACTGGAGTTGTTTTAGAAATGGACAAACAACCAAAATGAAAGGGGAAGTGTAAAAGATTATCTGAGAAAAAAGTTCCATTGATTTGCTTTTTTTTTTTTTTTTTTTTTTTTGAGACGGAGTTTCGCTCTTGTTACCCAGGCTGGAGTGCAATGGCGCGATCTCGGCTCACCGCAACCTCCGCCTCCTGGGTTCAGGCAATTCTCCTGCCTCAGCCTCCTGAGTAGCTGGGATTACAGGCACGCGCCACCATGCCCAGCTAATTTTTTGTATTTTTAGTAGAGACGGGGTTTCACCATGTTGACCAGGATGGTCTCGATCTCTTGACCTCGTGATCCACCCGCCTCGGCCTCCCAAAGTGCTGGGATTACAGGGATTTGCTTTTTTAAAGTTCCTTGAAGAGATGTGAGACCCAGAACTGCAGCAGTCATTTCACTACAATCCTGAAGGGGTAGCCAGTCGAGGTGAGGACTCATAGGTTTCAAAGGAGAACAGGAAGACAATATCAAAAGGTGCTTAAGATCTTTGCTCCTGGAATCACCTGGTGACCTCCCATCCTAGCTCTGCCACATACCAGCTGGATGACCATAGGCAAGCTATTTAACTTCTGTAAGCTACCATTCTATGATAGCTTAAATTCCATGCGGATTTTGATAACACCTCATTAGGGTTCTGTGAGGATTAAATAAATATATATATAGAGAGAGAGCTTAGCATCTCACACTCAATAAATGATTGCTTCATTATTATAACTCAAGGACAGTGAAATATTTATGTCTCTGATGAGAAAGGAAAATGAATGGCTTTGAGTTTAAGGATCTTAACAAACATTACCAAATATTTAATATGCTAAGGCATGTTTCAGTATAGATTTTCTGTATTTGGTTTAACCAGTAACTTTTGTACTCAGAATCAGAGTCAGGAAATTTACTCTTTCAAGTGATCTTTCATAGTTAACAAAAAAGCAAAGGCAATTCAGTGGATAAAAGATAGATAGTCATTTAACAAATGGTTCTAGAACAATTGGACATTCTATATAAAACAATAATATAGACACAGATTTCAGATACTTCACAACTTTCTGAAAATAAATTGTAGATCCAAATGCAAACTGCAAAACTTTAAAAATGCCGAAAGATAACAGAAGAAATCTAGGTGACGATGGATTTGGTGATGAGCTTTTAAATATAATGCCAAAAGTAGAATCCATGAAATAAAAAGCTGATACATTGACTTTATTAAAATTAACAACTTCTTCCTTGCAAAAGACACTGCTAAGGGAATGAGAAGAAAACCACACACTGGGAGAAAATATTTGTAAAACACATAACTGGTAAAGCAGTTGTATTCAAAATATACAACAAATAACTCTTACAACTCAGCAGTAAGAAAATAAACACCCCTATTAACAAATGGGACAAAGATCTGAACTAACACCTCACCAAAGGAGATATATATACAGATGGCTTGGCAAATAAGCTACTAAACTCATGTTTTTAGGGAACTGCAAATTGAAATAAGATACCACTGCACACGTATTTATTTGATTGAGTAAAATCCAAAAAACACCACCACCAAATGATGGTGAAGGTGTGAAACAACAGAAACTCATTTATTGCTGGTGGGAATGAAAACTGGTAGCGCCATCTTGGCACTTCCCACAAAACTTACATAGTCTTACTATTCAATCCAGCAATTACGTTCCCAAGGATTCACTCAATTAAGTTGAAAACTCATGTACACAAAAAACCTGCTTATGTTTATAGTAGTTTTATTAGTAGTCTTTAAATACTGTGAGCATTTCTGTAAGAAGTTCTTCAGTAGAAAAATAAAATAATCTCTGGTACATCCATACAATAAAATATTATTCAGTGCTTAAAAAAAAGCTAACAGGCCATGAGAAGACGGGGAGGAAACTTAGATGCTTATTACTGAAGGAAATAAGCCAGTCAAAAAAGGCTGCATACTATACGATTCCAACTGTCTGATGTTCTGGAAGAGGCAAAACTATAGAGATAATGAAAAGATCAGAGGTTATCAGGAGGAAAATGGGCAGAGGGCAATGGAAAGGAATGAGTAGGTGACGTATGACAGATTTTTAGGATGATGAGCTGTTCTGTATGATACTGCAGTAGTGGACGTATGTGTTTATGCATTTGTCAAAATTCATAGAGCTGTAAAACAC